AAAAAAAAAAAAAAAAGAGAAGAAGAAGAAAGAGAAAAGAGGAGGGGGAGATGTCGTTCGTAAATAGCCAAGAAGAACGACCAGCTGATTCTGGCTAGTAGATGTAACGGACAAAAACCTTCATTTACGACGCGTTTTTACTCATCCGCCGCTACACTTATTAGACGCTCGGAGAATATTAATTTACCCGGTGGTACAGGACCGTTCTAAACGACTCGCCGCGAAGCAGCAACAGTCCGAGAGAGAGAAAGAGTGGTAGGGAACGAGAGATAGAGAGGAAGCTCGGTCCTTTCCTCTGATACAGTTTCGCAACGGAAAAGCCCTGGGTCTCGTTACGTCGCTGAAAATTCTCGACATTTTCCGCTGAATGTCCGTTTCGTGTTAATGAACGACTTATCTTCATATTTGCTGTCACCACGTGCACGAGACGGAGCTCGTTTACGGAAGTTGGCTAGCTACTAGCCGGCTATAGTAACTGCGGAATTAATTGAGATCCTAGCTAGCCTATCTTGTTATCCGAGTAAATTGTGAATTCCTGCTAACCGAGCATCGGTGGTAGCTCGTTTAAGAACTACCACCGGCCAGTTTCGCTCGTGCTCGTAAACGGGGATAAAGATGAAAAAGAGAAAAGGAAAAACGAGAAAGCAACAACGTTCTCCTTTTCTGCTTTTCTGATAACACCAACGGGATAGGAAAAAATTTTTTCTTCGAGTGAACAACAAGTTCTCGATAAGTCTTTGAAAAATTCGATTTCGTAAAAGAGAAACGAGTCTTTAACTTTGGACTTAATCGTCGTCCATTCTTCTCTGTCTTTTTAATATCTCGAGGAGAGAAGATTTTTTTAGTTAAAGCGAATGATCAACTTCTTACGGATTTTTACTGTGGCGTAGTTTCCACTATCTTCCTGAGAAACTTCTGAGAAACTGGAAAAGAGTTTTTCGACTTATCTGTTCTGTTACTCGATAAGAAAATTTTTTTTAGAACGAATAATTTTTTTTTTTTTTTACGTGTTTCTGCATTCGTCGATTACGAATCTGAGAATCATCTTCTTCTCTATCACTCTCTCGATTGCGAGAAATTCAATTCTGGAAAGGGAAAGCAAGTTTTGAACTTTGAATCTGTTTGAACGATGAAGGATAAGGAATTTGCTTTTGATAATTCTATAAACTATTCCAAACGCAATATATGTGTGTCCTTGTTAAATATGATTAATCAACCATTCAAGTGATCAGAATTTTCAATTTTTCGCCAATTTTTCTGACATTTTCCAATTTATTTCAAAAACTGAGAGTGTGAAAACCGACCGTAGCACGCGATAGAACAGAACATTTTTTCGGAAACTATCGAGGAAAATAATTTCCAAACGAGAAAGCGAGACAGTTTAACGAAGCTCATCAAACGTGACCCTCGTGTCTATTCGCTATTAAAAAGATGAAAAAAAAGAAAAAGAGAAAATTCGTCAGACAGTGTAATCGAGAAAGAAAATTACACGTCGAACCTCGGACGATGGAATTAGCGAGGCAAACGCACATTCGGTCACGGAATGACGAAAAAAAAACGACAAAAAAAAAAAAAGATAAAGAAACAAGTAACCGTCGCATAAATCTCCTCGTTCGTGTCGACTTTTCATTAAATTACATTGTCCAACGTTGTTTCCCTTTTGATTGCATGTCGAGATTGCTCGCTCACGCTCACGCTTCACCAAGGTGGATACCATTATTGTTCATTACCATTCGTAACATATCGAAAATTCCGTCGGCGACGGAACCGTCACGAACTGAAGTGGAAAAGAGATCACCTTGAGATTCTGAAGATCGTAAATTCGTCTTCCGCCATTTTCAATTCTGTGTCAATCATTGGCAGGTGATGGTTACGTTTTGAATTGTAATATTGATTGATACAGATTTAAAAACCAAGATTGATTACAATCAACAAATGAAAAATTGACAATTTCTGTTTACCTAAATTCGAGCTGAGGTGGAAAAGAGACGTCGAATCTTGAGATTCTAAAGATCGTAGATTTGTCCTCCTCGTTCTTAATTCTGTACTGGCAGTGGTAGTTATGTTTTAGATTGTTGTGTATTTCAGATCTGTACGGATTTATAATATGTACGGATGAATCTCTTATATTATTAATAATACGTACGGATTGTGATATTTCAAACTGGTAATAACTGTAGTTTGTGCATTTACCAAAATTCTCGTGGAAGCAACATGTTTTTAAATTGCTTCGCTACTGTTCTTCGTTCTTTCTGCTCGTCCTCTTCTTTGACAAAATTCAAGTCCAAACGAGCAGTCGTTCGGACTCGATAAATTATTCATTGAATGTTCGGAATACTGAAAGAATACTCGACCCCATTTTATAAACAAAACTTCGCCGGTATTACGAATAAGTAATTAGATTTGAAATTTATTTTAATATTTCGCTAATCCAGTGTTAAAGTATATTCATATTCATAACTTTGGCAAAATCGGTAAGATCAATATTACAGTTTGCTCGGCGGAGTGCCCCGAGGCGGTAATATTTCCTCTTGAACGGAGCCTTCGGTGCGCGAAATTTTCAGAAAGCGTAAACTTTGAAAGCGGCGGTAACAAGCAAATGTTGCGAAGCAACTTGAAGATTCGAAAATGTCAGAGATATTAGAAATGTACGTAACACGACGCCAAGATATGACGTGATTAATTTTATGTGACAAAGACAAAGTCAGAAGGTAGAAATAAGGATCGATATCTATCTTCGGATTGGATCTATCTTCATTTTATTTTCCAGGCTATTAGATCGTACTACATTCTCGCAGAAAATCATCTGAAAGTGGCAGCTACTCCATCGAAGTCAATCAGTCATCATTCTTGCCTGACCTTTAGGATATTTCTCTTGTTGATAAATTGTATCGAAAGCATAGCTTGATAAAAGGGATAAAAATAAAAGTATTAAAATACTACGCGTGGTGTTGGCTATACGTAAAATACTTTTCTTACGCGCAGACGCGTATTTTACGTAAAAATATTGGACTTATTCATTTATTTCACATATCGTAAAAATACTTATCCTTGTTTAAAATTCTCTCGTTCCAGGAACGTGTCCGGTCGAAAGGAACAGCAGGGATGGCAGTGTGTTTGGATTAAAATAACTCAGAGCTGGCAGTTACAAATCCATGACTCGTTTATTAAGAAATACTGTATTGTTCCGACAATCGCGAAATGGTGGTACGAACATAACGGTTCCTCAAGCTAAGAACGCTTGGACGCAGTCGTCCCGGTGTCACCGACGTCGCTTCCGGGTTAACGGGTGGGACTCGCGACAGTCGCGCGACATCCACCGAAAAAAATCAACGAGGTCCACGAGATCGATCGTGGTGGTTTCGTTCACATCGCGTAACACTCCGTCACACACACGTGCATCGTTCATTTTGTGTTTCCGCGGCTGATATTAGGCGCGCACCCTAACAAATATATATATATATATATATATATATATATATATATATATATATATATATATATATATATATATATATATATATATATACGAATCTCTCTCGTGTTAAAACAACGCACACAAACGTTTAAGAGAAGCAAGTACAACATCAAGGTTTCATCGATTTCGTTTCTTTTCTCGTTCGCTTTTTTTTTTCTTTTTTTTTTTTTCTTGGTTGGAGCCGAGTGTTTACGTTTCAGGGTTACCCTGTCGATCGTCTCCCTCTCTCGTTTCGCGATACAGATCGAGAACCACCTCCAACCACCGCCAACTGAGCAAATCAAGCCGGAGATCCGTGAAATCTCGAGTGAGACCGAGTGATCAAACGACACACACGATTCGTTACTGCTACCAGGCGATTATCGAAGCTCTCGGCTCGATCCGGTGTGTACACACACATAGTAGTCGAGCACGGGGGTGAACGCTGGCTTCCGGCTTGCCACCGAGCGGAATCCCCCGCGGTACGTGTGACGCGAGATCGGCGTGACGCCGGCAAGTCCCATTTTCCTGGTGAACGTCCCCAAACCGGTGTACGCGTGACACGACAGAGAGAAGACGCGGACAAAGAGACAGACACCGAGGCAGACACAGAGACAAAGTGAATCGCTCGCTGCGGTACATATCGTATATCGCTCCCTTCCCTTCTCTATTCCCCGGCTGCTCGTTGCGAACGAACGTCGTCGCCACGACGGGACGACGAGGAGAGAACGCCGACGCGCTCTGGCAGTCGTCCGGGGTCGGTCGATCGTTCGCGCGACAACGACGACAACGACGAAGCGCGAGGAAGAGCAGGGAGCTGCGTTCCGGGCAGTTGCGTAACGTCGCAGTGGCAGTGATCTTTCGCCGGATGGTGGGATACGGATCGCAACCTACCGATACCTCAGCAACTCCGCGCAGACCAGCAGGACGAGCAGGTGCAGCGAGAAGTAGAGACGCGGCGTGGATGGTCCGGTGGATGCGAACGTTAACGCGTACGACGAGTAGCATTCCTTGTAGGATTCCGGATTCAGCCGGGTGACCGTGCAGTAATGATGAAGGGCGCAAACTACGTTCAGCGGTCCTCCGCAGCCCCAAATCTGCTCCACTTCCCGCGGCAACGAGACCGTGTTGGCCGCGTAGTATCTACAGGAATTGAAGCAGTCCCGCGTGCGCGGGAAGATAATCAGCCGGACGAAACTCTGTCTCTCTCTCTCTCTCTCTCTCTCTGATTGTTGAGAGACTACGCTCTCTGAGAGCCATCGTATCGGAATAATCATTAGCATCGCAATGACGCGATTGGGGTTGAAAATGGTGGACAGTTATCAGCGTCAACCACCGGCTGAATTATCGCCGAGAAATATGGAAATTATTAATGCAGCCGACACGGCTCTGTCACACAGAGAGCCTCCGCCTCTCTTGCGATCGCTGCTCCGCGTTGGATCACGTAAACCTAACGGCCGCAGAGTGACAGAGCGCCATCCCCTGCACATCGATCCCTACAGGGTACAGGTGCTGCGTGGTCGCGCAACTTTGTCACGAACAACTTACGTCAGTCATCCCGTTACTCGAACCGGCGTGGACAAGTTTTCAAGGTCGTGCGATATCGCGCGTTTCACGAGACCGCGACACGACCGAGGGGATGGACACGAGGCCTCGCCTTGAAAGCGAAATTAAAGGGAAATTCAATTACGCCGCGAAGATTGAACGTTGCTGCGAGCTTTGAAAGAATTTTTTGTGGAGTTTATAGTCAGGCAGAATTCTGTCTGGACTGTTACCTTCGATTGCAATCAATTTTTCATCGTTTGGAAATACGTCTCTATTTTTTTTTTTTTTTAGCTACAAGTAAATTAACATGCTTCGTCGATAACATTTCGACAACACAGAAATAGGTAAAAAAAGCTTTACTTTTTACGAAAAGAGCTAACTTTATAATCCAGATTTGGGATCAATTTGCGTTTATATATATATATATATATATACGTCGAAACAAATAATCGAATCGATGTAAAAGTGTTTCGTCGAAAGGGAGAAACATATTTTTGTCGTTTCGAGATCCGTTAGAGAACCGTTGGCAAAATTTTCAAAAGCTTTGGGAATGCTCGAACACGAGGCTAAAAGCAAGGGAAGTAGTAAAAAATTTTGTTTTCTTTTTTTTTTTTTTTTGGTTAGCGCACCAACGTTGCTTTATTTCTTTGCAAAAACTGCACGAGATACGACTCACGATATCTCGCAAAGTCCCGGAAATTACAGAATTCGCGTACCACGCAGCAGCAAACAAACGGAGGACCAAACGAAAAAAAAATCANAAAAAGTCGATCGCACGAAACCAATCAAAAAAATTCCTGAAAAAAAAAAATCAAAAAAAAAAAAAAAAGAAAAAACGACCGAGAAACGCCAAAGTGGTGGAAATATGTCAAAGTAACGTTCCAATTCTTCTCTCTTTTTTTTTTTTCCTTTTTTTTTCTTTTTCCTGCGCGAGATACTCGAGCCGTAGGGACCAGAAGGGAAGGAAAGGGTGCGCTGGAAACCCCGGATGATCGATGATGCCTGTCCACGATACGATCGCGGTCACGTATCCCGACCCGGACAGATGGAAAAATTTGTCGGTCGAGCCGTTTACCTACCTGACGAAAGCATAATCATTGAGTTGCGTGAACCGGTCGGCCAGGTCGTGAAGAGCGATCGCCGTAATTTCCTGAAGTTCGTAGTACTCGAGCAGAGAGTACTCGGGCAACCAGTTTGCCGTCCCGATTGAATTCGCGTCCGGCAGATTAAGATAGTACTGCGTATAATCCAGCACCTGAACACGACAGAACAGAGAGGAGAGGATAGGTCGTCGACGAATCCTATATAATATATATATACACAGAGTGTCATGTAACTGGTGGTACAAGCGGAAAGGTGGTGATTCTACATGAAAAACTGAGTGAAAAAATATGGATTAAAATTTTTTCGTACGAAGCTTCGTTCCCGAGAAAAATAGCTTTGAATGTTTATTGAGTACGCTCGATCAAGATTCAACTCAATTATTGGAAGACATTCCTCTTGAAATTCGAAGAAATTTAATTTACCAACAAGATGGAGCACCATCGCATTTCAGTCGTGAAATGAGAAATTTTTTTTAAACGAAAACTACCAATATTGGATCGGCCCCAATGGAAGAATACCTTGGCCGCTACGATCTCCGTTGGATTTTTACTTATGGGATCATGTTCAATCTATGATGTGTTCTAGCGACATAGCGAACGTTGAACAGTTGAAAGAGAAAATTATTATAACGTTTGCAACATTGAAACTACAAAGTAACACATTAGAAAATGTTCGTAGAAATTTAATAAGAAGAGAACAGTTATGCATGCAACAACGTGGACATCACTTCCAACAATTTTTTTAAAGTAAAAATAATTAATGAAAAGACATTCTGTGTCCTCGGATTGGGAATGTTTACAAATGTTAGTAGAAATAATAATGAAATTTCGTTGAATTGAATCTTGATCAAGTGCACGCGTACTCGATAAACATACAAAACCATTTTTCTCGGAAACAAAGCTTCGTGTGAAGAAATTTTATTCTGTATTTTTTATTCAGTTTCTCATGTAGAATCACCACCGGTTACATGACACCCTGTATATATTCCCGTGGCTCTTTCGGTCGAGAAATTATGTACAACGAGTGTGGAAAGTATTCGGCACGTGTAAACTTTTGTAACTTCGTGAAGAAAAGAAAGAATCGTCGTCAAAAAGATTTCCTGAAATTTGCAAAATTTTCGAGAAACAACGTATCTTTAAAATGATGTTTTAAAAAGCATCTTTCAAAAGAACGAGTTTAAAGTGTCGTCAGAGAAGCTTCGCGCTTTAAAATGAGCCTAGGTGGAATTTTTCCCCGTGAAATTATAATAGCTTAACCCTTTGAATGTCTAGTCCAGATTAGAATCAATAATAAAATAATTATTACTTGTTTCAAAAATTACACTACAATATGTCGAATATAAATATATTAAAAAAACAAAACTTTCCCTTAATAAACCTTGCCAACCCTTCGTTCGAAGATTTTACAAATTCAATATATCTTCGTGGACATTGAAAATTTTTTCCCCGTAACTTGTACATCCACCGTGATCCTGAGGATCGAAATCTTCCTTAGTGCAGACAAAATCCTTCGTCGAGTGATCGTAGTAGACGATCGTAATTGTTGTCGCGCAGATCGGGCAGAAATTATTGAACGTCACGTGGCGTTAAAGTGGTTTGAACCTCAACCTACCTGACCGGTGGTCGTCTCGAATTTGTACAATCTTAAACCTGGATTGTTGGGGCCTCCTGGCGTGCTCGGCGATATACTCGGCGCCATCATTATCCACGATACTGGCAGACCTAGACGACACAAACGTCCACCATGACGTGAAATCGATTATTCACCGAATTCCAGTTTCGCGACGTATACATATATGTACATACGATACATGTTCGTGGGCAAACGAGGCGGGATATTAAGGCAGGCGAAGGTAAAAAGGGTTCGGAACGTTTTGAAACTCGCTGGCGTGACTGATAAAGCGGACTGCGAAACGGTTGGAAAAGTATTCTGGCTATTGGGCGACACACGCACGGAATTTATCGATTATCGCTCGTGACCTCCGCGCCGTTACGTTACGATGAAGGAACGCCGTGGAAAATACGAGCGGGGCTCGTGACAGAATGTACGAATGCTGTACAACGCGTCGTAAAATCGTACCATCCTACCTTCACGATCACGCTCTTTCCGGCTAGGGTGCTCCGTCGAGGATTTATACTACTCGATCGTCGAAGTTATTTTTGAGAAACGATCGCGCGATATTTTAAATGCATTCGAGAGAAACGATTGGTAAAACTGACCGTTCATCATGCCTCTACATCCTGATGATATTTGAAAGTACCGTTTATATCATTTTAATGCGACAACGATTCCTCGCGATATATTGAGAGGCACGTAAATTGAATGTTTTCTAATCGCTAGAAAAGAGAGTTTTTATTTTTATTTAATTTACCACGCGAATAGAGAAGAACCTTCTTTACGCGGATATTTCGAATATTCATCAGAACAAAATATCTATCTAGATAACTAGAGACTCATCCGAGATCGAAAAATTAAAAATGCTCTACTATATACATGAAATCATTTAAAAAATTCTTTACAATGTGTCAAAAATCAATTAATAGCAGAGAAGTTCAATAAAAATGTCACAGTCGACTTAATATCGAAGGTAAAACTTTTAAATTAGACTAGACCATTTCTAAAATCCTGAGGAAAGATCTGCATTAGTTTATTTCAAAAAATTTGAAAAACAAAGTGACGTTACTTCGCGTGACGTAAGTTGAGTCACAAAATCAACAACGCGTGCAATTTAGAAACTTGTACTGATATTAAAAATGAAAGGTGTCCTTAGTAATTTTGACCGGAAGTGCCTCTAGAGCAGAATTGTTTCGGCTGGAATCTTCCAAAGAGATCTTTCAACATTTCAACTTTTCTTTGATCCTACGACATCGAAATAAATTGCTCTCGTTAGATTACAATCGATCGACATCCACATTACGGCAACTACATAGGAATAATTACCTGCTCAAAGCTTAATGCATTTTATAGATTTTACTGTCAAGCCGCATCCGTGACGTAAGTTGATAATAAAGCAGCGGAGGGACGCTGCTTTTTTCTTCTTTCTTTTTTTTTTCTCTTTCTCTCTCTTTGTGTCCGAACTGGGACGCCTTTCGAAGTCGGCCAATACGTGTCGGATCGTTAAGAAAGTCAAACCGTCACGTCGTCGAATCGCCAACAAAGACTCGCTTTACAGTCCGCCAGCGACAAAGGCGCTAAAGCCTCCGAATACGATAAGAGCAAAGTCACCCGTGACAAAAGAGTACGAAAGCATCGGAATCAATGAATACGGTGTATCAATGGTGCTCGCTTCGAGACAGTGTTTTGCGAAACAGCATGGGAAAATAATCAAGGGGAAAGAAGGGCGGTGAAGGGCCAACGGGCGTCGATTTCATTTCCATTTTGATGCGTCGAGCGTTAAGCGTTTCCTCGCGCGCGCAAAAAAAAAAAAAAAAAAAAAAAAAACGGGGGAGGAAGAGAAAAGGAAAAGAAAAGCAGAAAGTCCGGGAGTGTGCTGAAAATGCGAAGTTCCGAACTACGAAGGAAAGGTAGGCTGGATGTTGAGGCCAAAAAAAAAAAAACAAAGAAAAAAGGCAAGTCGGGAAACGAAGAAAGAATGAGAAACAGCCACTTGGTGAACCGCGCACCCGTGGAAAGGTGGAACGTGGTTTGGGTGGCTGGACGATGCCTGCGCATCGATCCGACCGTCCCCACGGTTGATTCACCGCCACGTTCGACCGCCACGCTACTGCGAACAAGAAGAGACAACACGTATACGCACACACACACACACACACATGCACATGCACATGCACATGCACATGCACGCACATACACGTACACGTACCGGTATCGCTATAAACCACGCGAAAAGTGTCCGTGTGCCAGTGACCGAAGAACTGACCGCGAATGATGTCCGAGTACAAGCGGATCACCTGGAGATATTTGGTATTGTGATGTTCGCTCAACACCGCCGCACCGCTCTGACGATCGTCTATCCCCGGTGGCGTGTGGCCTACGATGTAAACCTAAAAAACATTAGCGCAAAATATGGGGATTAATTCAATCGTACCAATTTCTTTTTTTTTTTTTTAAGGGGGTATTCTGGTAATCCGGCGTAAAAACATCAATTTTTTTACATTTTCTCAAAGTATCATACGCTTTCGAAAATGCCTGTGTAAAAGGATTTGTTTGAATTCGTTCAATGTTATAGATGTTTAAAGAAAACGGTGGTACTACTCGCAACGTAAGTATGAATATTTCTGTACAACGGCTAACAAAAACTTCAAATGTGTTTCTCTCAAAAATTATTTTATTTTATATTTTATTTTATTTTATAATATCATTATTTATATTATTATGATTTTATAATATTTTGTTTTCTGTACTGCTCGATTGATTGTAAGTATGAACAACGGGTAACAAAAACTTCAAGTGTGTTTTTCTCAAATCTATACTTTTTGAACTGGCTGACGGGGTATCTCACGTTTTAGTTGACCGATTGACTTGAAATTTGGAGGAGATCTTCACCGGATGTACCTTTATCGCACGGATTTCAAAATCTGATGTTTTTTTCTATTTTTTTTTTTTTTTTTTTTTTTACCACCCGAAGGATAAAAAGCACAAGAAAAATCGATATTTTAAATTCAAAATGTTGCCATTCCTTTAATTTTCGAAATTTCGATGTAACAGTAGTTCATGCGATAGCCGTATTGATACTAATTAAGATGGATTTTGGTTTTTTAGTTTCAAATAACCAGGGCGACCGTAACGGTTGATATTATAAATGCTTGTGATACAGAACGTATGAACGTATACATGTGATAGAAGAATATGTTCTTCGTAATATTTGATACTAAAACTTTTTTTTAATACATCACTTCGTACGTTAGATACACGACTAAAGTATAAAACTTCAATCAAAATAGAAACGTAGTAGATCAGGACGCTTATAGTCAGACCCATAAACGTATTATATCGATTCGTATCGAATGCGTTTCTAACATTCAGTACTGAAAATTATCTTTTACTTTGACGAACATACTATCTTTTTCTTTCCATTTGACAATGTTAGACACTTATATCCAAAAAAATGAAACTCCTAAACGAGATTATTCGTATATTTTAATCAAAAATGAAAATCAATCAAATTTCTATAAAAAAAAAAAAGGAAGAAGAACTGGAAAGTTATCATTTCGAGTCTGAAAATTATTCACAAAGGTTCTCATCTGGTACTAATTATGACACTCGAACGATTATCCATTCATTATCGTTAAAGTTCGATCGCATTCTTGAGATCCCTTGAGACTCTGTATAGAATTTCGAGATAGTTTAATGCATTTGATTCGCTATATTTCTCCCCGTCAAAATTGTCAAGCGACGGAATTCCGATTAAGTAGGCGCGTTAAACGGCAAGAAGTGTTTCACGGAATCACTCTCGCGCAGTAACCGTACGTAATGAGCAACTCTCTCGTTAGCGTTGGTAAACGGAATTCCGTAAGCGTTATCCGCGCTGCAGAATCAACGCAAGATACGAATCCGGAGCGCGAGTTGCCATGAAATACCTAATCGAGCACGTTCGTGAAATTAAACGCAGTCGGCGCTGATCTTGTAACGAAGCTTCTGCATTTGAAGCTTGTAAACTGGCTGCCACCGCTCGATTTCATGTAAAATGAACGAAGAAAGGGATGACAGCAAGGGAATAACTTTAAAATTAATTATTAATTACTTCTAAAGTTGCTAAAATTTATTTTTCATTTCATCAAATTACTTAATTTTGGAACTCTTAACTTTTCTGGCCAAATTCTCCGTCGCGAAAATGTTTAATCCTGGGATTTTAAGTACATTTTTTTAATACAATCTGTCAGACGATGTGCGACGAGTGCAAATTTATTCATAACGAACGTCAGAATGTAATTAAAAATATCTTGAAAATTATGAAAAAGGAAGCACCAATAAGAACGCACAAGCGAATCTTTTCAACGGAAGTTTGTAATTCCAATTAAAGAAAAATTGCTCAAGTCGCAAACAAATGAAAAGTACACGTGTCTCACTTAGTGGCGAATAGTGAAATAATGAATCTATTATTAACATATCGGCACGAAGAGAAACATCAAGAATTCACACGTATTAAAAGAACTGACTGGAGACAACTTAAATTTAGTGACGGAGAGAATTTTAATCTTTTATCTCTTGCGCTTCTCAATAGATACTCTAAATGATTGACACTACCATTTTTATGATTTAGAAGAAAAGAAATTTCATTAGGATGAGGAGCACTTGATAAGACAATGTCACGACAAGAGAAATCTCATGCGAATAACTATAAAAATCAAATTAAATAATATTGAATGATCTGTCGCTTTGTCCCAAATATACATATTCTATATACTATGTATATCAGTATATATTCTATACGTATTGTATAATATACATATATATATATATATTTATAGTTATATTTATACGTATGTACATATTTATATTCATACTTTTGTACTGTCAGAATTTTGTTCTCTGAATTCCCATCCTTGTTTCGAACTGTATCCTGCTGCATTACTCAACTATACCAACATTGCAGTTTATTTTAAATACAGGTACCACTCTCCACTATTTTCCTTGAAGGATCTAGCTACCTTTTTACAAAAACCAGGGCAAATACTCGTGCTAATTCACATGCGAGGCGGGAGCGGACGAGGATCAAAAAATTTCCATGTCACAAGAAGAAGACAAACTAGAAGCGTTAATCTCGTACGTGGCGGGGAATATAGAAAACGAACGGCTAGAAAATGAAGAGTGAAAGACGAAAGAAACAGTCGGACGTCGCGGAAAAACCTCGAACGAGAAGAATCCGTGGACCAAATAAAGAAAAAGAGAGAGAAAGAAAGACAGACAGACAGACAGATAGAAAGAAAGATCGAGCTAGGGCAAAGACAAGAAACTGGGAAAATTGTGACGGTGAAACCGACGGTATGAATTAGGAGGAATAAAAACCTGCCCGTGCAAAACGATAAAAATGACGACCGGTTAAGAGGTGAAGGTGAAGAGGCAACAAAGGGCGGGACGTTCTCATGCGAAGGAAGAAGAAGAAGAAGAAGAGAAAAAAAAGGAGGAAAAGAAAAGAACGACTTCACCGGCCAACGGATGATACGTATGCAGAGAGAAAGCAGGCAAGGAATCAAAGAATACAGGAAAAGGGAAAGGTATGCAGGGACCGGTGAAAAATAGAAGAGAGAACGTTCTTCCGGCTAGGCGGAAGAATAGAAGCCAGTGTCACTAGCTAGAAGGGAAAAAAGGTGGGGGGAGGGAGGATGGCGCAGCGTTGTCGGTTGGATAAAGAAAAGCTCGTTAAGCTGATAAGAGAAAAAAAAAAAAAAAAAAAAAAAGAAAGGAAGAACGGGGAAAAAGTCCTTTTCCATTCGCACGGAGATTCCTTCTGAACGAATTGCACCGTTGGGAAAAAGTAGATTTCTTTAAACGGTGAATACCGTCGATCGGGCACCGGGGGAACGAAACTTTTGCCCACCGAAAGAGATAAGTGTTACGCGGTTCGGTAGGCATGAACGACCTCGCCGCTCTTCCCAGACATTACTCGCCCGTATATTCTGCTCCCTTCGTACGTGTCACGAAATATCTCTTCTCTTCTCTCCTCTCCTCTCCTCTTCTCGATTGGTTACTTCTCTCGCGTAGTCTCGTTACGCGCTGCACACGCCCGAATATTACATACTAGATCCTGGGAGAGACCTAGCTGCCCCTGGCGCTGTCCTTTCGGCCAGCCAACCCCCAGCCACTGTCGTTGAATTTTCGCGGAGGTTGGCAGTTTGTCGCGCCAGTGACTCGCGATATCCGGCACACCTTTGCGCTTCGTGCCTCGATATTTAATATTCGCCGTTTCAATTTCCAGAATATTTCTCCCCGGCCGCTCGCCAGGGAGAACGTTCGCGCGCTTTATTGCCACCGAGTTATGCAAATTGTTAATCTGGCTACGGCACTGTTAGAAATTTTCAGGATATTTACATGCGAAATATATCCTTCGACACATCGCCACGTTTTTGCCTCAGAAAAAAAAAAAGAAAAAAAACGTTTCAATTAGATATTTACATAGTAATGTAACAGTAATAATAATAAGCGAAATAATAAGAACAGAAGACCAAGGCTCTGAGGTGTGATAGAAAATTTATATTAAGGTGCCTCAGAATGAATAGATTCAGAATTCTGGAAAAAAAGATTTAATTAATAACTCTCATTTGCAAAGAGGATGTTATTGTTTGTATTTCTGTGATTTTCATCTAACAATTTTCCCATTTCCATAAGGAAATACTCGACTCTATTGTTCACGTGTGCATGAAAATGTTATACAAACGTAGGTCAAAGCTTTGCTAAAGCGTTGTAATAAAAATACGAAACACAAAGGGAACGATACTTTTGTCTCGAGTATCGCCTCCAATTTCACGCTATTCAACTTTTATGTGTGAATAACTTTAGAAAGGAAAGACACATTAAACGAGTGTTAATATGCGTTATGGACAGATACAAAGAATTTATCCTTTTCGTTGAGATGGAACGAAATCAAAACGAGTTTAATTAAATGTTCTATTCAACTTTTTATGAATGAATATTTTAAAATTTAATAGAACAACTAATGGTTATGCTCGTCATAAATCTCTCATGTTTGATTGTACCATTATATGTATTTTATACACAATTGCTATGAAATATACTAATACTATACTAATACATATACTAATATACTAAATATAAGTATATTTAGTATATTTTATAAGTATAGTATATTAATAATAAATATATTTAGTATATTTAATACTAATGAATAATAAATATACTAAATATACTAATACATATACTTTCGTCTTTCTGACGATGAATACGTTTTATTGTATAATCTGAATTACAGAAATTTTTATATTTTTTAATAAACGGTACATATCTCAGTCCTATGTTCAACAAGCAAACTGTGTTTCAATGTTGAAGGTGTAAGCAAAGAATGGATTATTCATTATATGAAAAA